AGGAAGGAAGGAAGGAAGGAAGGAAGGAAGGAAGGAAGGAAGGAAGGACGGACACATGATACTGTTGCTTAAGAAATCACCATCACTGACAATGTCTTTCCTTCAATGGTGATTCCTTGAAAGTCCCACTTTGATTATCTGATTGGCATATGTATTTTGGTAGACAAAAGGGTGGGTATAGTAATAGTTATTTTCATCTAGTTCTTTTACTCCCCTTGTATCCTATTGTTGTCTCTGTAAATATACATGCACAAATGCACAGATGCACATATTTTGGTCCCATTTGTTCATAATTGTAGTGTTTATCTTGATCCACAGAACAACTATTTCAAAGCTCTTCATAGGTTAAAGCTACAACCCAAGAATTCCTGCAAGTGTTCTACTTTCATATGAGAAGCCTATATATAGGCAATGTAAGATAGCAAAACCCTGGTTATTTTCATTGCAAAAAGGCACCTGTCTGTTTTATGAAGGCAGAGCAGTATGTATCTCTTGATAGTTTTGGTAACAACAGCTAGGCTTCTTAGCAGCTACTCAACAGTCGAAGCAATTCCATTTCAAACCAGTTGCCATGGCTGAGGGAGACAAAGTAGAAGGCTTCCCTGGTGACAATGAAGATCCAATTTCTACTCCCTACAAAGAGGACTGAAAAAGATCAAGAACTCCTATCAGAAATGAGGTAGCCGTTCACTGCTGATAACCTCAAAAACTATTCATGACAGCAAGTGCTTGTTTCAGATTGAAGTTGCAAGGAGTTTCATCTCTGAGGGCACAGTGTTAAACACTCCCAGCTAATTCATGTTTGCTGTATATATTGGGCTGTGGTACCAGAGATGAAATAGTTGATGCCTCTTCTAATTTCAGGATTACTTTCATTCATTACTTGGACTAACAAATATCAAAAAGGCCCTTGAAGAGGCCGAACGACTTTCAGACAGTCTTAAGCTCAGGTAGGCTTTAAAAAGCATTAAATGTTAATATGCGTGCTTTACAAGTTTAGATCATCTACTG